CATCAACTCAAAATGGATTAAAGACCTCAACATCAGACCTGAAACCCTGAAACTACTTCAGGACAGAGTAGGAGAGACACTAGAACTTATAGGCACAGGAAGGAACTACCTGAACAGAGTCCAGGGGCACAACAGATTGGAGAGAGACTTGATAAATGGAACTACATTAAAATAAAAAGTTTCAGCTAAGGACATAGCTACTCAACTAGAAAGATAACCAACCGATTGGGAAAAGATATTTACCAGCAATACATCAGACAAAGGCCTAACATCCATTATATACAGGGAACTCAAGAAACTAATCCCTCCAAAATCTAATAAACCAATTACTAAATGGGTAAGGGAGCTAAAAAGAGACTTCCCAGAAGAGGAGGTAAAAATGGCAAAGAAACACACCAGGAAATCTTCATCATCCCTGGCTGTAAAGGAAATGCAAATAAAAACAACCCTGAGATACCACCTTACCCCAGTCAGAATGGCCAATATTCTAAATTCAGACAACAAGAAATACTGGCAGGGATGCGGAGAAAGAGGATCCCTACTGCACTGCTGGTAGGAATGTAAACTAATACAACCACTTGGAAAGCAGTCTACAGGTTCCTCAAAAAACTAAACACAGACATACCCTATAACCCAGCCATACCACTCCTATGCATCTACCCTGAACAACAGGGATTCGACAAGGACACCTGAACTTCCATGTTCATTGCTGCACTGTTCACAATAACCAAGATATGGAAACAACCCAGATGCCCCACTACAGATGAATGGATCCAAAAAATGTGATGCCTACATACAATGGAATTTTACACAGTCATTAGAAAGGATAAAATAATGCCATTCACAAGGAAATGGATGGAACTGGAACAAATCATATTGCGTGAGGTAAGCTAAGATCAGAGAGACAAAAGGCACATGTTTTCCCTGATATGGGGAAGTTAGAATTCAAATGCAATGAGATATGACAAAGTAAACAGGATTTAAGTTACCCATACACAGTGAGACAAAAAGAGGAAAATTTAATAACCAACCACTCCCCATATGTATATTAAATAATACACAAACTGAAAAGAACCCCAAAGACAAGGAAACAAAGGACTTCTCCTTAATTGGTCTTACCCTTTTTTTAAAGATGACCCTGTATTCTTCATCTCATAAATGGTATATACACATGCACAACTGAGGGAAGGTAGGAAGAGGGTTCAGAATCAGTGGAAAGCTGGTGAAAAAATCCATCAGCTGCACTGGACATTGATGAACGTGAACTAAGCAAGTCAAGAGTGGTGATAGGAGGGAGAGAATGAGAGAGAAGACGGGAACAGCTGATACTAGGCAAAAGGAATGAAATGTACGTATCATCCAATATATGTGAAGTTTACCTTGCTGTGTATCATCTGTAAAACAACAGTTAAAAAAAGATATTAAAAGAAAAAGGATGAGAGATAGAATATTGACAGTCAGAGCTCAGCTGAGGTCCTGTGAGGATTTCAGTGTATGGATTCAGGCAAAAGGAGGCTGGAGAGACTGGTAGGAACTGAGGCATGAAGACTCTTAACAGGTCAGACTAAGGATCTAGATAGGCTCACAAAAGTAATGGAGAGAAACTGAAGAGTGTTAAGGAAAGTGGCCTATCAGGTTTAACCATGGCCATCTTGGAGCATGTCTCATGCAGCTAGTAGGCAGGAGAATTGAAACAGGACACTAGACCAGAGCATGACTCAACTAGTCCTTGTTTTGGAACTCAGGGGAACTAAGTATTCTTATAAATTTAGTGCCTGCCCTCAAATAACTTACAGTGGAATGAGGAGATGCTCACATAAACAGTTAATGTCAGAGGAAGTCTGGACAGTGGCAGAAAAAGTACAAAGTCCAGGCCATTAGGACCCTCTCCCTGGAGTTTGGCTGCTATCCCAATACATAAGTCTGTCATTAAAGTCACCTGGGCAGGTCCCCTCCTTTCACATGCTGGGCCTCTAGTTTGCTGATGTTAGCTACCATGTGTCCCAAACCAGGTCTCTCTTTCAAGCCATATAAATATTCCCATTCCTTCAGTGTTTTGTCAGTGCTGTGGTCCTGAGTCCCTTCTCCAGTCTCTCTGGTAAGTTACTAGGATTCCTGGAATACCTTTAAATAATGGCCATAATAATCAGAGCATTGTCTGGCCACTTCAGGGACAAGTGGAGCATCCCTGGTTTATTAATGTAGCTTAGAGGAAAAGAATGATTGCAGGCAGCCAGGTCTCCACAACTGCCAAACTGGTTTTAAGTAAGGATCTTCTCCATCCTGTGCTGGTGACATGTGTGTACAAGAGGTCATCTCTCCTCTGCTGAATTCAAAGGGCAGGAGAATAAGATGAATGGCGGAAGTAGAGAAATGGAAAAAAAGGAACAAAGAGTCCACAGCATCTTACTAAGTCAGATCAAATGTCATTATTTTAGGCTTTTCCCAGGAGATGAAAACAGAGACAGGATGTCTAAAAACTTGATCCAAGAGAGCTGTGAAGGACTTGGAATTAAAAGGGATTAAGGGAATGTCTACAGGGCCAAACAGATTGGAAGAAGCAGAGGACATGGTATGCACCTGGCTTCACCAGAGCAGATGTATGAATGTTGATAAAAAGGAAATGAGGCAGTGGACATCAGACACAGCAGGTAAGGAAGTCTGGCCTCATCAAGACCCTCGAGGCCTCACGGTTCTGCAGAGACCATGATGTATACTTATTAACTAAGTTCATCATTGACTTTTTTTTCTTAATGTTTTCTCCTCCTTCTACCCTTCCTCTTCCCCCTATTTTCCCTCCTTTTCTTTTTTTTTTTGTGCCAGTACTGGGACTTGAGCTCAGCTTATGAACTCAGCTTGAACTGAGGTTTTTTTTTTTTTTTTCTCAAAATGCTCTATCACTTGAACCACAGTCCCACTTCTGGTTTTTGCTAGTTACCTGGAAATAAGTCTCATGTACTTTCCTGCCTGGACTAGCTTTATATATTCACGTGTCCGCCTCCTGAGTAGCTAGGATTACAGGCGTGAGCCGTTGGCTCCTGAATTTCCTCCTGAGTCCTGGGAGTATAGCATATATCACCATACAGTGACTTCACTTACTTATTTATACCTATATGTATACTGCAAAGGATATACAGACTAAAATAGAAATAACTGAATAAAAACCAGAATGAGAAAGACACCCTTGTGTATATTATCTCATTTGATTTTTATGAAGACCCAGCTACACAGCTGTTACTATCTACACATCCCAGCTGAGAAAATTGGGACTCAAAACAACTCAGTAACTTACACATGGTTTCACTGTTACTAAGGGGCAATTACATTTGCATTTAGGTTTAAACAAAAGAAGAAGCGGCTTCTTCCCTTTCTGTACCATATTGCCTATAAGTCGTAGCTTCCGTGAGAACACTCCCCACCCACAGAAATAGATCAACCTCTGAAGTCAATGGCTGGCTGAAGTCATCTTGGGGTAATTTTCCTACAGCTCTTCAGTTGTCTCAGCTGTGAGATACATAAGATCGCAAACCTGTATCCCTGGGACAACCACAAAGGTTTGATGAGCTGATATTGATACGGATTTTTTTTCTGCTGTTCACGGTGTGCAGAGCCTATACAGCCCAAGAGGGCTGCAACCCTTTCAGAAGCAACAGCTGCTGAGTGATTCAACTCAGTGGCAGATGCCTGCCAGTGTTGCAGCACCACTGCCAGTTACTGCCATGGACAAGAGAAGATGAGTGAGGAGAACTTTATTCAGAAGAGAAGTATCTCAAGGACTGCTGCTGGTCTTTCTCTAGTTGGCTGATTTTAGGGGTTTTTATACCCTGCTTGTGCTTCAATTGGTTGCCCCTGTTTTACAATTAGGTGCTTTGGAAGTTGATTCTTTATTGGTTAGGTTTCACACATTCTGATTGGTTGTTAATTCTTAATCAAGTCCCTTGAGAAAATCCTCTTCCCAGGGTCATGAGAAAAGAAAGCTACTGAAACCAGAGGGCCCAGGGAGGGGAAGCAAGATGTCCCCAGATGATGTCTCTTTTGCATCTGGTTTCAGCTCACTAGGCCAGGATACTGCCCAACGACCCTGGGAACTAACTAATCTACCCTTTTAACCTCATTACTGCATTTGGTAGCATACTGCTCAAGCACAGACCAAGTACTGAATTAGGTTAAGTAAACTAGTTAACTCAAGTAACTGGATTTGGGCAAGCATTCAACCTTCCCAGCCATCTACAGATGGAGATGATGCTGGTGTGTCTCCCTCTCAGGATGATGATTTGGAAAAAAGTGATAATATATAGATAGTATCTGCCACCTCATTTAAATATTACCTCAGGGCTGGGGATCTGCCTCAAGTGGTAGAATGCTTGCCTAGCAAATGCTAGGCCTTAAGTTCAAACCCCAGCACCACTAAGAAAAATCACTTCTTTCATCCTGAGCTGAATACTGTTAGACAACTTAAATCACTCAAATTATTGTTGAAATCTGCATTTTTCAATTAATTTACAAAAGCAAATACAAATAGAAAGACCTCCCCATACCTTTCTTTGCTATAATGAAGCTTAAACAAAGTATCATCCGCACAATAGGCAAGGGTTTTACCATTGAGCTCTACCCAAGGCCCCCACATAACATCATTAAATGTAAAAATAAAGCCCAGGAAATTATGAGGGAGAGTAAGAGAATTTCCTCATCATGTTTTAAGAACAAGTCCACAGGCAGCATCAGGACAAAAGAACTTCATGGCAGGGGCCCTCATGTGTGTTGTGTGGGACCCACATCACCACACACGATAGTTGCAGCAAACGCGAGACCAACCCTGAGGGCAGCGGGTGAGTTCGTTGCTTTGTGTTGGGGAGCTTCGCTTTGGTTTTGGAGTGCTGAGATTAGGTTATTTTCCCCACCTTTTCAAACTTTCATTAACATTTGCTTGTAATACATTAGAGTCCATATTACAGTTTAAGTGTGTTCTTGGAAATATTTTAATTTAAACCACATCTAACCTTTATGCGGTCAGGGTCCACATAATGCACTTTTTTCATGTCACATTCTTCAGAACTGTAATTGAACTTGAGGATATAAAGGATCCACACTCCAAACACCAGCAATGTACATCTGGGGAAAAGAATACAGCAAGTAGGTATGATGCTGTTGTGTGAATGCTGAAAGAAAAAATAGGAAGTAGAAGCACAATTCTAATGTAACTGGCCTGACATGAAGCATCAAGGTTCAACCAGCTAAGGTTCAAAGGAAGGTTCCATTTCCTGACAAGACAGCCATTAAGTAAATATGTAAGAACACTAATAAAATCTAAATCATAATGGGATTACTGGACTGAAAAAAAAAGAGCAAGTAATTTTCTTGCATCTCTAAAATGCTGTCAGTCTCTAAAAAAATCACAATAAAAGAACAACCTACTCATAAATATTTTTAAAGAATTTTATGCAGAATTCCCTAAGTCAGGTAGTGAATACAATGCTTCTTTTCTGTCTTTGCTCACTAAAAGATCGGATAATCTCACTCCACAAATCATGCATACACACACACAGGATTTGAAAAAAGAGATGAGCTGGATCTTGGCTCCAGGAATCTCACTTTTAATTGCCTCAGTGGCACTGACAAACTAAATGTTAACAATGTTTAAACCATAGTTTGAGAACCACTTCTTAAAGTAATACATGTAAGGAAAAATCTTAAGGGGGATACGATACATTTACTAAAGAAAGGGGCTGTTTTTAAAACTAAAGCAACTAGTATAATACAAGATCTTAATAGATGAGAAATACTGAAGACCAGAGGACAATGATACAAGCATGTGTAGCTGGAGTGTTGTTGTTTTTGTTTTTGGCCAGTCATGGCGCCTGAACTCTGGGCCTGGGCACTATCCCTCACCTCTTCAGCTCAAGGCTAGTGCTCTATCACTTCAGCCATAGCACCACTTCTGCCTTTTTCTCTACCACTTGAGCCATAGTGCCACTTCCGGCTTTTTTGTTTTTGCTTATGTCACTTCTGCCTTTTTCTGCTTATGGGGTGCTGAGGAATCGAACCCAAGGCTTCATGCATGCAAGGCAAGCACTCTACCAGTGAGCCACCTTCCCAGCCCTAGCTGGAGTGTTTTTAAGATTGCATAATCCTAGCTACTCAGGAGACTGAGATCTGAGTATCATGGTTCAAAGCCAGCCCAGGCAGAAAAGTCTGTGAGACTCTTTATCTCCAATTAACCACCAGAAAACTGGAAGTGGTGCTGTGGTTCAAGTGGTAGAGCACTTGCCTTGAGCTGAATCACTCAGGGACAACGCCTAGGCCTAGAGTTCAAGCCCAATTACTTACAGAAGAAAAAAAAAAAGATTGCTTAATTCATGTCACCAAGAGCTTCAAGAGAATCTAGATAGACATCTTAATGTTTCCCTGGGATTGAGAATGCTGTTAAGTGAAAAGGATGCTACCATTTGTGCATGAAAATGGGTTAGATGGACAAGAAGAGACCAAACACAAACACACAAACACACAGACACATACACACACACACACACTTTTTTTTTTCTTTCTTTCTCTTTTCTTTCTTTCCCCCTTGTGCCAATACCGAGACTTGAATTGAGGGTCTGGGTGCTGTCCCTTAACTTTTTTGCTCAAGACTGGTGCTCTACCACTTGAGCCACAGTTCCACCTCTGGCTTTTTGCTGGTTAATTGGAGATAAAGAATATGACAGACTTTTCTGCTTCAAATTGTGACTCAGATCTCAGCCTCTTGAGTAACTAGGATTACAGGCATGAGCCACCAGTGCCCAGCAGGCTCTTATATATGCTATAATTCCTAGCCTGAATCTGCCTTGTCCACAAGCAGCATAGGGCCCCAGTTGGTTTTGCTTGCTGCCCTGTACTAGCAATCAGCACAGCAACAGGCATCCTGTGGACATTAAAAAGTAGTGGTTGATGACTAAAAGGAGGTGAATGTGATATAAGTCTTGAAACAAATTTCCTTTTATCACCCTTTCCCCTTTTACACATGCTTTAAAATTAGTAAACTGAGGCTGGATACTAGGTTTCAAGGTCGGATTTCTATCTTTTTTATCTTAAGATTTTCCTCCCTCCCTTTCTTCTTTTTTTTTTTTTTCTTTTTTGAGATAGGGTCTTACTATGTAGTCCATTGTGGCCCTTAACTCACTAATGACTAACCTCAAATTCAAGCTGATCCCTCTGCCTTAGCTTCTCAAGTACTGGGTTTACAGAAAACACACCTGGCTTTATCTAAAGGTAAAAGGCTGGATGCAGTAGCTCATTCTTAAAATCTTTGACTTTAGGGAGGCCAAGATCAAGAGAATCAGTTTGAAGCCAGCTCTAGGGGAAAAAAAAAATGCAAGACCCTTCCTGAAAAATATCTAAAATCCAAAACGGCTAGGGGTCAGCTCAAGTGGTAGAGCATCTGCCTGGTAAGCACATGACCCTGGGTTCATACTCCAGCACTGCCAAAAATTAATAATTCACATCTTCAGACATCTATAGAATTTCTGACTTGGTTTGGCTCATACCAAAAACTTGACAAATTTCTCCTTTGTTAATCCTACCACATATTAGGCTATCAGCTGACCTATCATATGTTTTAGTATTCAATATTTAATGGTATTCAAGTGTCTGTAAGGGAGTTAAATTAGTTTAGGGAGAAAATTCTCTTTTGTTAAATAATGGCATAAAAGACAAGGTGCTGGAAGCTATGGGACATTCAAGCTCAGGAGGAGAGAATGAAGGTCTGCCAGGCACTGTGCTTCCACCAAATACAGATGCACACATAAACCACTCCATCTGCACACTGAATCATGATAGCCTTTAAATGATCCTTTAACTAAATATGCTTTTCCAGCCTCGGCCATCTCTAGGGTTCTCATTGCATTGTTCTCCAGTTCCATACCATTGGCTTCAATAGGGATGTTAAGGCCCAGGGGCTGACACTTACTTGAGGATGTCCTTTAACAACAAACTGGGTCTTCTCATCTTGTTCTGGGCTCCGGTGTACCATTGCAGGGGGGGCCTTGAACATTCACTTCTTAGCTTCACAAAGTTGTACTCGCTTGGCATTTCTGTGAAGAGAGAGATCAGGACAGTGGTGGGAGGCGAGAGAAGTGTTAGGTAGGATTTTGAACTCAGGAACTTGTGCTTTCTAGGAAAGCATGTTACTTATGCTCTCAGCTTTTTTCTTTTTCTCCTTATTCCAGGGCCTGAAGTCAAGGCCTCTTGCTTAGCATTTTGCTCATGGCTGCTCTACCACTTGAGCCACACCCTCAGACCAGCATTTTGTTGGTCAACTGGAGTTACAAGTCTCACAGATTTTTCTACCTGTGCTGGCTTTGAACTTTAATCCTGTCTTCTGAGTAGATTCCAAGCATGAGCCATCAGCATCTAACCTCTCCAGCCCTTATGCTTTAGTTATTTTTTCAGATAAAGTCTTGTGCTTTTTTTTGTCTGAACTGTTCTCAGACCACAACTCTCCTATTCCTATCTCCTAAGTAGCTAAGATTTCAGATGGGAGATATTGTGCCTGGCCTTAAAGAGACTTTTTTTCTTTTCTTTTTTGCTGGTCCTGAGGCTTGAACTCAGGGCCTGGGTGCTGTTTCTGAGCCTCTTTGTGCTCAATGCTAGTGCTCTGCCACTTGAGCCACAACACTACTTCTGGTCTTTTCTGAGTAGTCCATTGGAGATAAGAGTCTCACAAGTCAGGTACCAGTGGCTCACCTGTAATCCTAGCTACTCAGGAGGCTGAGATCTGAGGATCATGGTTCAAAGCCAGACTGGGCAGAAAAGTCCCTGTGAGACTCTCATCTCCAATAAACTACTCAAAAAAGCCAGAAGTGGCGCTGTGGCTCAAGTAGTAAAATGCTAGCCTTGAGCATAGAGGCTTAGGGACAGTGACAAAACCCTGAGTTCCAGCTCTAGGATCAGGGGAAAAAAAGTCTCACAGACTTTCTTGCCCAAGCTGGCTTTGAACCATGATCCTCAGATCTCAGTCTCCTGAGTAGCTAGGATTACAGGCATGAGCCACCAGTGCCTGCTTAAAGAGACTTCAATGCGATTATATCCACACTATGGAATACTATTTGGCAACAAAAAAGAATGAGCTCATGATACACAGCACAGTAAATGTTAGTGAATCAAAAACGACATGTTAACAAGCTAGGCCTTCTCATCTTGTTCTGGGTTCTCTTCTTATTCCAAAAGATTAATATTGTATGATTTCTAACATTTGTGGGTTTAAAATTTTTTATTTATTTTTTAAAAAGTATCTTTAAGTAGTTGTACAAAGGAGATGCTATTTAACAAAGCAGTTTACCGGAAGTGGAGCTGTGGCTCAAGTGGTAGAACACAAGCCTTGAGAAAAAAAGCTCAGGGACAGTGCCCAGGCCCTGAGTTCAAATCCCAGGACTGGCACCCCTCCAAAAAAAAAAAAAAAAAAGACACAGCAGTTTATGGATACAATGCATCCTGATCAGTGTTAACCCTTTCAACATTCTCATCCATCTTCCCTACCTACCCCTTACCTCACTCTTCTTAATTTTGTAGGATATACATTGAATTATTGACTGTATTCTCCTCTTCTCCTTTTTGGTCATCTACCCCTTTCCTCTTGGCCCCACACCACCCTGTTCAAGCACCCATTTCCTGGTGTTTATTTTTGCCTTTTTAAGGAATTACACTATTTGAGTTCTCCCTTGAATCTACCATATTTCAAGCAGTACATTTGTATGGGCCTGCATACCACCAATATATTTACTTGTAAGTTTATAAGCTAAATCTAGCTTCCACATATAAGGAAAACATGTATTGTCTCTCTAGGCTGACTTATCCTATGACCCAACATTTCTACTCCTGAGCATTTATCCAAAAGATTACAAATCATGATACAAGAAAGATACCAGCACAACCATGTTCATTTACTATAGCCAAGTTATGGCATCAGTCCACATGTTCCTCAATGGATGAATGTGGTATAAAAACAAAATAAAATTTTACTCATCCATTAGAAAGAATGATATTGTACTATTTGTTTTTTTGTTTGTGTGTCAGTCCTAAAGCTTGAACTCAGGGCCTGGGTTTTGTCCCTGAGCTTCTTTTGCTCCAGGTTAGCATTCTACCACTTGAGCCACAGCTTCACTATCAACCTTTTCCAAGCAGTTTGCGGGAGATAAGAATCTCATGAACTTTTCTGCCCAGGCTGGCTTCAAACTGTTATCCTCAGAACTCATCCTCCTCAGTAAGTAAGGATTATAGGCATGAGCCACCAGAACCCAGCTGATACTGTACTATCTGTAAAGAAATGGAAAGAGATTGAAACAAATTTTTGTTTCATTTTTATTGATTTATTTATTTTTGGTCATGGAGCTTGAACTCTGGGCCTGGGCGCTGTCCCTGAGCTCTTCAGCCCAAGGCAATCACGCTATCACTTGAGCCACAGTACCATTTCCTGTTGTTTCATTTTGATTGGTTTGATGGTACTGGGGTTTGAACTCAGGGCCTTGTACTTGCTATACAGGTGTTCTACCACTTGAGCCATGCCTCCAGCCCTTTTTACTCTATTTTTGAGATAAGCTTTCTTTTTGTTTAGGATGGCCTGGATCACAATCCTTCCATATATACTTCATTATTGACATACTAGAATTACAGAAATCCACAGCAGACAGGTGGGTGCCATGGTTATAGAGAAAGGATGGAGGGACAACCATGAAAGGGCAGTCTGAGGGCACAGAACAAAAAAAAAAAAAAAGAAAAGAAAAGTAAAAAGTGACTCATGAAGAAAGGAATGGGATTATCAAAAGTTTAAAAGAAACCTTTCTGGGCTGGGAAGGTAGCTCAGTGGTAGAGTGCTTGCCTTGCATGTATGAGGCATTGGGTTCAATTCCTCAGCACCACATAAGCAGAAAAAGCCAGAAGTGGCGCTGAGGCTCAAGTGGTAGAGCGCTAGCCGGACAGCGCCCAGGCCCAGAGTTCAGGCCCCATGACCGACAAAAAAAAAACAAAAAGAAACCTTTCCTTTAAAACATATATGCTAAGGGATATACCTGTTTATATTCTATTTTACTTTTCTTTTTCTTTTTGCAGGGATGGAGATTAGAGTCAGGGCCTTACTTGTGAGAGTCAAATACTCCTTTCTTACCAAGCACTCCTTGTTACCTTAAACAACTTCTCTATTGACTCTAATTCTGTGAATCAAGAATTGTATCATTTCTAGACTGCAAGAATTCTTTATCACTATATTCCCTCTGTTCCCATAGTTTCAAACAATAGTGCCAAAGACCTTATTAGGAAACCTTTGCTGAAGACTCTACTGAATTCTAAAATGAAAAGTTAGAGCAACCGAGACCCTGGAAGGCTTTCAGAAACAACTCTGTGGTTACCTAATGTACAGTCAGCCAAGTGGAACCGCCAGACTACTGTAGGCAGTACTTGCATAAAATTGAGGTGTACTGGGTTGTCTGAGTTTTTATGACCAGAATGACACTCAATTCAGACCCAGATGGACCTCCAGAGAACAAAGCAGGCCATGGTTAGAGAATGAGAAAGAATCTAAGTTTCCATCTGTGTGCAGTGGGCAGCCCTGCTGGCTCTGGCTCTGGCTCTGGCTCGGCCTGCTTCTTAAAACTACAAACCTGTAATCTACATTTTGCAGACTCTGTCTTGCCAGCTGGCTTCTTGTTAAACTGTGATCCTGGGATGTGCTAGCAAAAGACTGTAAGACAAAAGTAGTCTTTCAATTTGCCGACAGCAGCAATGAAGGCAGCAAGCAATGAGGGAGGAGGGGTAGTCGACATGTAATACCAGCAGCAGCTGTGAGCATCCAGAAAACTTGCTTTGTGCCTGGCAGAAGCCAGAGCTGGGCTCTGGAGGCTCATGCCTCCTAGTTACTCAGGAGGCTGAGATCTGAGGATCATGGTCAGACAGAAAAGTGAGTGCGATTCTTATCTCCAATTAACCAGCAAAAGCCAGAAGAAGTAGAGTGCCAGCTTCGAATGGATAAAAACTGCCAGGCTCCAGTACTAGCATAAAAAAAATTTTTTTTTAGAAATCCCAGATCATCTCTTCAGTGTGTCAGGGATGATATTTCAAATCATGTATCCAAAAATGAAAAAAAAAAAAACCAAAGCCAGGTGTAGAGGTTCACATCTATAACCCCAGCACTTGGCTGGAAGAGGCAGGAGGAGCAAGAATTCTAGGACAGCTTGGACTACATAGTGAAACCTTGTCTCATAAAAACCCTCAGAAACTAAGTTCCTAGGTTTTCAGAGGGAAGTTCATTAGGAAATGATCACATGTCTAGTGAGCTGGACAGATATACATTTATAGAGAGACAAATCAAAGCATAGTCACACTCAGCATGTTCAGTTTGCTCAGCAGAGACTGGTCAATTCCCTTCTGCGTAAGTATCACAGACTCCCCAAGAACTTGTTAGTGGATCAATAGACCAAGAAAGAATGATTAAACTGAGCACTGGAGGCTCATGACTGTAATCCTAACTATGTAGAAGGCTGAGATCTGAGGATGGAGGTTTGAAGCCAGCCCTGGCAGGAAAAGGTCCATAAGACTCCTGTCTCCAATTAGCCAGCAAAAAGTTGGAACTGGAGGTGTGGCTGAAGTAGTAGAGTACCAGCTGTGAGGCAAAAGCAAAAAAAGTCAAGTGAGAGCACAAAATCCTGAGTTCAAGTTCCAGTACCAGTTCAAAGGAAAAAAGGAACAAAAAAGATGATAGAGGATCCTCTCACTAGAGGGCTTGCATTCCCACTTCCCATAGCAATGTCACCTGGAGAAGCAGCCTGTTGTAGGCACCTTCACATACTAAAACTACCTCTAGCCAGAGGTATGCCTGCACACATTTACCCTCCATTCAATTTTTTGTGAACAATTCAACCAGTAGTAATAGTCGATTCCATTTGAGTTAAGAGACAACTACAGAAGGGCCTTGCCTAGCAAAACTGCTTATATGGATGTATCTTTCTATATTATAACACCTGTCATCATGAGGCAAGTTGCTCATACTTTCAAACCTAGTATTATTTTTATCTTGTCTTCCCTATAAGCCGTAGACTCCATG